GATTTAATTTGCCCTTATCTGTCACCCCAGTTCCTTTATTCTGCTTGCATACACCCAATATGAATAAAAGCAGTGGTGTAACTAGCAAGTTTTGTGCCCTGGGCAGAACCCTACTAGAGAATGGGAGTGAGGGTGCTGAGCATTGAAGAGACCAGGGGTCAATCTTACCTGCCCCAGGGACTCAAAGTCCCCAGATGCTGCTGCAGCAGCATAGTCTGCTTGCCCCTTTGTTACTTGATACAGCAGTAGCACAGTGTCCCCACACTTGGTAACTGCTGCTGCTGCCATGGGCAGACTCAGCAGAGGGCCTGCTATTCTGGCACTCCCTCTAAGTGTGTTCCCCATTTGCCCACCCTTGTTACACTACTGAATAAGGGATTTCATGTGCCCTATAAAAGATGGCTGCTGGGAATGAAGTTGCACTGCAGATTACTGACTGGAAGGGACTTGCTCCTGAGTGAGACATGGTGTCTATGAGGAATAAGAATGGAAAATAAAATGTAATTGAATAGAAAATAATTTAGAGATTAATCAGTGCTAGGAGATAAATGTTATAGGTAATGCAGCTTGAAACCAAGGCACTATACACATGAACCTTACGCTGCACAAAATCTGGTATTTTTTTAAAAAGACTAAAAAATGAAGGTTGACTTTATTTAATGGCACATGTAGCTGACATTCTTTGCCCATTTCAGCTGCAATTTATAGCATAACTACTCTCAGCTTTGATGTAGAGCTAGTTTTTTTTTTCCTTTCACAGCAAATTACTTGTCTGTAAAAACATTTCCCAGTATTACTTGTAATTTTTACTCAGCATGGAACTACATTACTTTCCTTCGGTACGTATTTGGTATGTATCATATTTCTTTCCACAGAATTGTTTTTCATGAAGTTGAAAATGGTGTGAGTAAATTTAGTGCTTATGAAAAGGAGTGGCTCATAGCACTGATTCCTGTCAGACCTGTACGGCAGACAGCTCTGGGCTAGCTTCTTTCAAAGACCTCTGCCCACATATGTCCATCATGAGAAATAACACACTTGCTATTCTTGTTCTGAGTCTCTTTGCAACTCTTTGTATATGTGTATACAAATAAGGCCCTACGTGACAATCAGATTAATTTCACTGGTGACCTAAGATATTATCAGAATTGGAAACTACATTAAATTAAAGAGAGCAGTACAATTAAAGTAAACAGAAGTTTGTCACTGGCTTCAGAGAAAACTTATTAAGGATTTAATGATGAACCTGTTGTAATGATGAGCTTATTGTGAAAAAATGCAGTAGTTCAGAGCACAATATCAAGGAGAGTTGCTACTGACATAACAGAATAGCCTCTCTTTATAAAGTAAGTGCTTGTAATTCACTGCACTGTCGGAGACTCTAGAATTAGGATTAATATATCGCTTATGCTGCTGCCGAAGAGTGAATGCTGACAGCCATCTTACCTTGCCCAAAGCTTCTCAAATTCTGTTGAGGTGATTGGAATGGCAAATCTGTACAAGACATTTCTTAAATCCTTTGGCTGCACAATGCCATTTCCTTCTCTGTCAAATTCACGGAAGTTCTAGAAAATAAGAAAACTTCAATAACAAGAACCAGCAAGTTTTACAAAATCTTTAATCTCTGTCTAAGCATAAGTAATTAGAAGCATTAGGAAAAAATGAGAAGCCGTACATGGCTGAACTACATTTTTAATGTTTTTGTTTGAGGTTTTGGGCCTGATTTTTCAACCTTCACTGTGTATGTGTAACTTTATATATGTCTGTTGGTGGACTTACAGAGGGGTGTGTATGTGTGTGCGAGTGCTGGTAAAAAAAAGTTTGTGTGTATGAGAGTGCTGGCAAGCAACATGTACCATATGTTCTCGCATATAACATGCTCCAAAATATAACACACTCCCTGTTCTGAAAAGCTGGAAAGAAGAAAAAAAATATTTTTTTTCCTTGAAAATACCAGTATGTAATTTAATATAGCAAATTATAAAATGTAAAAACCTTTATACAGAACAAGGTATAAAATGGAAAAAACTACACATGGACTTTGCATGTACCTCACATCCTTCATTGCAATATTGTGGCATGTCTCTACAACAGAGGTTAGCCGACTGTAGCCTGCAGTGAAACATAGGCTGCAGGGGGTGAGGAAGTCTGTCACTGCTTCAATAACCTCCTAGCTGCTGCTACTCAGCCACAGCCAGCAACATGCTCTGCCTAACAGCAGCAGGAGCAGTTCTTTTAAGTAAAAGTGCAGGGTTGGGGTTTGGGGCGAATGAGAGGTGAAACAACCTCTTTTGGTGCCCTGAGCAAAGCAGAAAGAAGGAAGGAGACGGGAACATAGTATCATGTGACCACTGGAGGGGATGGGGAGCATAGTCTTACCTACTTCAGTTAGGGCTCCCTGTTCTCTGACCCGGACTGCTGAGAACAAGTGGCAGCCAGCCAGGGACAGACAGCCTGCTCTCTGACAGGGGCTGCTTTGAGTTATCTGCAACTCTGCCTGGGGACAGATTCCCTGTAGCAGCCCTATGGTGCAGACTCCCCAGGGGATACCCAGGATTGATGCCCTGCTCTCCTTTCCCTGCCTTCGCTGGAACCTAAATGGCACAATCGTATTTCCTCGCATATAGTGTGTATGCAGATTTTAAGCTGCTTGTTTTGGGGAAAACAAGTATAGGTTATATGCAAGAACACACAGGTATGCACAGGTCTGTGCATAAGGGATCTGAGTGATAAAAAGTGTGCAGTCAAGAGGGGGCATGCACAAACTACGGTACTTGTAAATGGAAGCTACAAACTGAAAAACTACTTTTAGATGCTCCATTCAGCAGATGTTGACCCCACCCTAATATGAAGAAAGCTATCCAATGTATGATCTCATTTACAGGATAAACTGTTCACTCTCCCCATCAATCCTTTTCTTCACCAGTTTTCTTCCTAACTTGTCCTCCAGTGATCTCATAGTTTGCAGTGTTTTACTAGTTAAAGAAGATACAATTTAAAAATACTTCATTCATATTAGGATTATTTATCAAATTATTTTCATATTAATGATTTGCATACTGGTGTGACCTAGACAGTCAAACAAGGTGCCATGCACATGGGCAGTACTTGGCATGTGTATATGCAAATCCTAACAAAATGCATCCCTGATTGGAGCCTTGAGGTTTTGTTGCAGTGCAATAAAAATAGTAAACAACCATTCTGATAATGTAGAGAACTTTTAGAAACATTTCCAGTAGAAGTTACTAAATAATTAACCATTTAAACATCAAATACTCCCCCAACCGCTTCTCTATATAGAGGAAAGTTTCTATTTTGCAAATTTTTGAATAAATGTAGAGTCTGAAGATCAACTGTGAATAATGTCCCAAAATCCATTAATGCAGCTAATTTAGTTAAAGAAAACATTCTTCTTACCCTTGCTAGGTCATGCCATCTGGTTTGTGCTTTGATAACAAGGTAGTAATGAGCCTGATCACAAGCTAGTTCTGCATCCATTCTCGTCTGTTTTGGTCTCAGAAAGGAAAAAAAAAAAATATCTAACTGTGTTTTTACATTTAATGGGTTCTTTAATCTCCCAGAAGTTTTCTTTCCTTATGTTGTTGTTGTTGATTTTGTTTCTAAGATCCCCTTAAAGACTTATTTCACATCTGTGTAAAGTTAATTCTTTAAATACTGCCTTATTTCCCCAGCTGCAAGTTACAGAAGACTTCTTAAATTTTGTAATTCCCTGTTTACTTTCATATCACTGTTGTTCTATTTGCCTGCAGACATATGAACAAACACAGATCTTTTATCCAGATAGAAGGAAGTGTTAACTATCTCCAAAGCATAAACAATTTAATAACATATTACAAGATGTAGACTGGTTTCAATTAAATTAACTCTTGATTTACATTAGCAATTGGGATTGGAAACTGGCCTAATGAATTAATAAATAAAGTCCATTGCTTTAGCAATTAAAGCCAAAAGCCCAAAACGGACTTGGGCATTATGATGCTGAGCACTGCAGCACCTAAGTGTTAGACGCCTGGTCCCTGTAGCAGAATCCATAGCCATGAGTTATGTGCCCCATAATGAATGAGAAAAGAAGCAGCAGACTGAGTGGAAAGCTGACTAAAGTCAGCACACTGAACATGGAGTTACCTCAATTAGCCAACAAAAAGATGCTCAGAACAGGGACCTGTCTGAGATCCCACCACTCTCTGGGGCTCAGGTACCCTCCTCTGTGGCCTCAACAGCTGCCTTCAGGTGCCTCAATCCTACCATTCAAAGACCAAGGAAGTCTTAGTCATTTCTTTCAATACATGGTGGAAGGGGAAGTCCCCGCTTTATACAGCCTTCCTATGGCAGTTCCTTCTTTCATTGTGCTTTAAAAGAAATTGGTGGCTGCAGCTACATTTTGTGCAGAATTTTACAAGGGCAGGAATACCAAAGTGCGTCCCTAAAGTCCCTCTGACAAAGGCAGAGAAGCACCTAGTCTGTGGAGCCTGGCTGAGATGTGCTGCCTTGTCAAGACTGAAGAGCTTCTAGGCATGTGCGAACCATTGGCATCTGGGAAATATTAATGTGAAAGACTAGGGCACCTTTGAACTTCAGGCTCCTTTAGGATTAAGAACCACTTCAGTCAGGTTTTCAGGAGTACATTTTTGGCCATAGTTGCATAAATCTCACATAAATCCCACCTGAGGTGCCTGAAAACTTATTGATCTCTACAACTCCTTAGTCTATGAAGGGTCCCTCTATACAGTTAAATTACTGGCCAGATTAAATGGTAAAGGTAAGTTAGCTAAAATGTTTCAAGAGTGTTTTCAACTCTTCTTCAATAAGTTTTTCCAAATTGCTCCATTCTTCATTTGTGACATTCTGAAATAGTAATATCATATATGATACCCATATTTAAAATGGGAGATTCTATGAACTAAGGACTCAGCCCATTCCACTGCTGAGATGAAATGAGAATGAAAAACTAACTGCCCATGACCCCTACTGTTACTGCTTCCCAAAATATATCACTAGAATCCCTTTCCCTTGTTTCAGAATTGTAGCAGAAAACCCCCTTTTCCTCTTGCCTGCATTTGCTCTCTCCTCTTTGAATACGTTTTTCCTCTTCTACCTTTTCTTCCTTCCTCTTTCTTTCACTTTAAGATAAGGAATTGTGTTTTAAAATTTGTGTGTGTGCATTTTGTATCTCCCTGTGGATTTTGGTATTTTTATCTATTTGTGTGCCATGGCATTACTTTTGTAGCTTATATTTTATACTCCTCACCTTTCAACTTTCAACTGTAAATGTGTTTAGTAACAATGTTAACAAGGGCAGGAGTCTAACTGCTGCTTCCCTGTATCAGGTGGGCTCCCCAAAAGAGCAAGTGAATCAGTGATTGAATGTGTAACACAGTAGCAGGCAACAATTAACACCTAAGGAAACTGCAGATCAACCAACAGAAGAACTCAATAGAAAACAATGTAGCAACCGGGATATCTCTAAACATCACTGATCAAGGGCTAGAAGCCCTGGCCTGAGTTAATCAACGCCGGGGACCAACTTTTGGGCTGAATATCTCCAGATTGACCGCTCTCAGAGCCCTATTTAAAATTCATCAACGGACTCCCAAACCTGCACGTACATGTGGACGACCCCTGGGGCTGACAGATGCCATCCAGTAGCCACCAAGGGGTAAGTCCCATGAGGGTCAACGACCCCTGGATTGGGCAAACCTGAAAGCTGGGGAGTCACCAAAGTCTGCCAAGGACAGATAAAAAGCAGTGAAAAGTGACCCTCAGCGACGCCCTCCTGATCTCCAACTTGACCAGCACCCGACCTGTCCAGCCAGAAGGAGCAGCCGGCAACCCCCTTCTGGAGGATAACACCACGCTGAAAGAAGCCTCAACTGGCCATCGACAGCAGACTCCAGTGCTTGTAGGATAGGTATACCTGACTCTTGTAGCTTGCTACTGTGTGAGCGTGTGTGTGTGCGTGTGTGCGTGTGGGTGGGTGGGGACCAGCCCCAAGGTTTATGATTTAACTTCATTACAGTGTTTCAGTCCGCCTAATAAACCAGAATTTTAAGGATCCCAAGTTGGACATTTGTAGCCAACAGAATAGTGTCCTTGATTTACACTGTTGTACAAACAAGAAACAAACCTAGGAAGATAAATCTTACTAAGACCAGCGCCAACAGTAACACTGTAGTAGACAAATAAAAACTGGGAAATAAGCCTATGTGTATATCACATCTTTTAAATCCACAGCAGAACTGAGATGCTGATTGGGAGCTTTTTTTGTTCTGCTTTATCTTGTCATTATTCCTATTGTTAATTTATTTCTGTTTGCACAGTTAAACAAAGGGCAGATTCTTTTCTCATTGAGTTCTTAGGTGGAATCTTAAGTGCATAAATGCTATTTATTATTAAAAAGAAAATCATAGTCTTAAAATTCCAAGTCACTGAGTCGCCTGGTATTGCTTTTCAAAGTAGAAGAGGAAAAGCCATCTTCCTACAGTGACAGTGGCTCCTCTATTCTCCTATCAATCTGCACCACAAGCACCTTCATTCTCATCTGAGATGCCCCTACTGATCTAGCCCTTTCATAATGCTTTGGCAGCACAAAGGAATGGCACATGAGGATGTTCTGCAAGTGGTGGAGGACCTGACAGAGGTAATGTCTGGGGCATGATCAGTGTTCTTCACTCAAACCATTACAAGCTTCCAATAAGCCCCATAAAGGCACCACTATACACCATATAAAGTAAGAATAGCTCAAATAAATAACCGGGACCACACTGGTCCAGCACAGAAATTGAGGGCTAAATTTTCTCTTTTGTGTTGTTCAGAAGACACAGCTAAGCATGTTGCCCTTGTCCTTTAAGGCAACTGGCTTCTAAGGCCCTGATTCAGCAAGGTGTTTACATATATGCTTAACCTTAAAGTAGTTAAAGATGTGATATTCTCAAGGAGAACTTGCATACTTAAAGGATGTGCTTTTGTACATGGCTGAATTGGGACTGAATCACAAAGGATTTTACGGAATTTAAACAACTACAGTTTCGCAGAAACACATTAAAATTGTTTCTTTTTTTTAAATGCAGTCTAATAGCAGCCTGCATATTACATTTTTACAAATCTACATGTATAAGACTAAAATAGGCAGCATAACATTACTCCATTTCTTACCTGTAAGATGAATTCAGCCAAGGGTGGGCCTCCTTAGCCTCTTGGGTTTGAAACAGTTGAAGGAATTCCTGGTAATTTAATGCAGATCTTGGGTTCATGCCCAACATACTAAGCAGGTGTGAATACCCCTGCTCTGAGAGATTGAATAAGAGGCTCTCCAGGAGGCATTGAAAATCAAGCATGTTGATGACACCATTGCGGTTACTGTCTGTTTTACGGAAGGCAGAGTAGAGGTCCTAAATGGGAGTGTTTAATTGAATGCGAGTGCTTGAACTTTTCAGGTAAAACACTTTAGTATCACATTTCAAACTACAAGGGTGTTTCAGAAACTAATGGGAAAATGGCTGCCACATTGTATGGCTGTGACAAAATGGGGAACACAGATGACTGCATTGTCAAATACATCAATCATTCATAACTACATAGTGAATCAATGTGGTCCAGTAAATTATCAATGCAGAAAAAATGGTTTTACTTCAGAATTGCCATTTGTTTCTGAAACATGCTTATATAAGTAATGAATGTTCCTTAAAAATCTTTTGACAAAGGAAAATATGTTAAAGTAGCGTGAGAATATATGATACTTAAAATATCTTTGTCCTAAATTCTACATTTTTAACTGACTTCTGATATAAAGTTTATAAAGGATATTCCAGTATTGTTCATAAGTGAACTGAAGTCCCAGCCCCTTATTTCAATCAAGTACTGAACTGATTGCAGACAGGCACCCTGCAGGCTCTGCACAGATAGCTAAATGGCTCTTGGCTTTCATCAACTCTGTCATGAAAGAGTTGGTTCTTGTTTCTATTCTCTTGTTTCTATTCTTTTTGTTACATGCTTAGAAAAAATTATTAAGAGAAGAACTTTTTCAGTAATTAATTGTCCCTTCAGACCAGCTTCTCCCTATTCACATAGAAAAACAAAGTTAGAAAGCATTTAAAAGTGATGAGTTTTCAGAAGTCATCTGTTCTAGCATGGACAGCATAACTATGGGCTGTCTGAGTGACTCTACAATACCTTTTTTGAACATTGCTATTTTAACTGTATTAGGAACACATAAGCTGTTTGCAGACATTAATAAAACCCCAACAACAGTGCTTCACTTTAAACTCTGCACATTCCAGCACCAAGCCCCACACATGCCCAGAAGAGGCAATGCATTCTTTCACCCAGCTCTGCAGCATCTCTAAAGATCAGGTGCTTTAGTGGGGTTTTTTGACGCTTTTATCTCATAGCTGATTGAACCAGCTTTAGCTTCTAGGAAAGTGCTTTTCTTTTAATGTCTGCAAGCAGACACAGTGTTTAACTGACTACAAGTTCTGTTCATATTTTGCAAATGGT